TAGCTATGAGGGAGCCAAAACAGCGCTGAGTATTTTAGCCTTTGATGCTGCTAGTTGAGATTTTTATCGATGAGCACCCCCCGTATTTTGATGTACTCTGAAGGAGGCAGCTGGGAGTTATCAAAATTCATACTCAGCCCGGCGGGTTTGCGGATGTTGGTGGGTGTGCCGGGATCAATTAATTCAGTTTTGATGGGTTAATCTCATGCCATTGTGACGAAACCATACTGGGACTGCAGTCAGATCGGACTCAACAAACGAACGCAGCTGTGCGAAACCACAGCCAGATGGTGATGCATGAGCATGAGCTGCATGAGCAGCTGCATTCATGCATGAGCTGCATGTCGTCTGCATATGACACCAGTTTACACGTAGCTGACGCACACTGGATGTCGTTGGTAAAGGGAGGAACATCAGCGGTCCTACCATGCTGCCCTGAACCACGTATGCGACCTCAAGGCTCGGCCCGTTTCTGCCCATCACAGTCTGTCGGCGGTCGGTGAAATAATGCGAAAACCAGTGTGGTGAAATACCATAGCATTCCAGCTTGGGTAAAAGAGCAGAGCGGTCCACACAATTGAAGGCTTTTGACAAGTCAGCTGAGCTAATGGTGATGATCATACCGGCATCCATGTTGTTGTTTATATGGCTAACTATATCCATGACTGCACGCTCGGTGGAGTGGTGAGGATGGTACGCGTATTGCGAGTCAACAAGGATGTGGTGACTAGTCACATATTCTAAAAGCTGGGCAAAGCAACCTTCTCCGTCCGTCAGCTTGCTTACAACACTGAAAACGCCGATAGGCCTGTAATTCGACGGTTCAGACGCCAGTCCCCTTGTGCAGAGGCGCGATTGTCACAAGCTTTCAGATGGACGGGACGCTACCAGCGGTGATAGAGTGGTTCACAACGTGTAACAGTGAGGGCCAACCACTCCAAAACACTTCCTGAGCACGGACAGGCATACATTGTCCGGGCCTACTGCCTTGGAGTTGCTCATGCGGCGCAGCGAGAGACTGAGCTCCGACAGGGTGACCATCTGACGCGGCAAGCGCCACTGACCGCCCTTGGCAGCCGCAGAGGCAGGTCCGCACCGGGTTCGCTGCTCAGGGTGTCGGCAATACGCTGTCCCACTGTGCCGAAGTATTCGATGAATTTGTCGGCGTCTGTCGGGTCCAGAGTGTTGTTGGATTTTTCTGGTTTGTTCGACGGCGTATCTATTCAGCTTGCAACAGGTTTTCTTTGATGTTTCGTTTGGGTCGCACTTGAAGACGTCAGTCAGAAATGTGTGCAGGAAGGTGCGTGGAAACTGAAGAGTTTCTGGTATGCGATTGATGCATGCGAATGTGCAACCTTACGTATGATGGTGGTTTTCCAGGGGCAATTTTCACCGAGGAGCAAAGGTCCAGTGCCCTAGAGATGGCGTTTAAGTACGCTGTTTGAAGGTCAACATGGATAGCGAAATTCTTCCAAATACCACCATTGAGTACGACATCCGTTATGTACACAAGGACGACAGCTTTCACACTGCCAAAAAAGGTGAGGTAACCACCGTGTTGCATCTACAAGGCTGGGTAATTCACTTTTATTTTGGTAAGCAATTTGCTGGCAATTCGACGAACAGGTAAATCAATTCAGGTACTTATTTTCGTTGAATATATGAACAAAAACAAGCGCCTTTGTTACAAAGCTGTTGATTGGCTGTTAGTACGTACTGTCACGTCGTAGGCATAGCGCAACAAACGCAGCGGAAGCAGAAATAATAACCCTTATGTTAAGCCCCCCTCGATTAGCATTTGTCTACAAGTGCAGCCACATAACATCGCTCCAGAAGTGTATGCGAAATCCGTGCACCGCCGTCCGAACATTTTCGTCATTCCCTGCGCCTCTCACTGTAATAGCTTTATTCCCCTCTCTCCACTTCGTGTACCCCGACCACCTTCTGCAGTTCCTCCCAGTGCCGTCCCTGATTCCCGTTTTTCCTTGTTTGACGTCCCGTTCTTTCCCAAACCTTGACCCTTTTTCTAGTTTCCCTCATCGTACCATAGCCCTGTACCCTGATTCCCCACTATACTGCCCCTCCCCATTGTGCCACCAAGGTCTACCCCCCGTCCTCTCATCGCGCACCGTCACCACCCGTGCCCATCAGCGCATCTTCGCCACTGTCCTGTTCTCTGCAGTGTGCCGTCCCCACCGTCACCACCGTCCGCACCGTCACCACCCGTGCCCATCAGCGCATCTTCACCACTGTCCTGTTCTCCGCAGTGTGCCGTCACAAACGTCCCCGCTCCCCTCAACGTACCGCCACTAACATCCCCTTCTCTCCTCATCGTACCGTCACCACCATCCCCTGCTTCCCTCAACGTAACGCCACTAACATACCCTTTTCCCCTCATCGCACCGTCACCATCATCCCCTGCTTCCCCAGCGTACCGTCACAAACGTCCCCTGCTCCTCTCGGTATGCCGCCACCACATCCCCTGCTCCCCTCAGCGTAACACCACCAATGTCCCCTGCTCCCCAACGTGCCGTCACCAACATCCCCTGCTCCCCCGGCCGTCCCCAGTCCCCTGCTCCCCCCGGCGAGCCGTCACCAGCATCCCCTGCTCCCCGACGTGGCGTCACCAGCATCCCCTGCTCCCCGACGTGCCGTCACCAGCATCCCCTGCTCCCCGACGTGCCGTCACCGGCATCCCCTGCTCCCCGACGTACCGTCACCAGCATCCCCTGCTCCCCGACGTGCCGTCACCAGCATCCCCTGCTCCCGACGTGCGTCACCAGCATCCCCTGCTCCTCGACGTGCCGTCACCAGCATCCCCTGCTCCTCGACGTGCCGTCACCGGCATCCCCTGCTCCCCGACGTACCGTCACCAGCATCCCCTGCTCCCCGACGTGCCGTCACCAGCATCCCCTGCTCCCCGACGTGGCGTCACCAGCATCCCCTGCTCCCCGACGTGCCGTCACCAGCATCCCCTGCTCCCCGACGTGCCGTCACCGCCATCCCCTGCTCCCCGACGTACCGTCACCACATCCCCTGCTCCCCGACGTGCCGTCACCAGCATCCCCTGCTCCCCGACGTGCCGTCACCAGCATCCCCTGCTCCCCACGTGCCGTCACCAGCATCCCCTGCTCCCCGACGTGCCGTCACCAGCATCCCCTGCTCCCCGACGTGCCGTCACCAGCATCCCCTGCTCCCCGACGTGCCGTCACCAGCATCCCCTGCTCCCCGAGCCCGTCACCGTCACCCCCCGCCCTCCGCATCTGCAGCCAGCTGCGGTACGGCGTACACGCGCTGTTCGGGCCGACGGACCGGCTGCTGGGCGCGCACGTGCAGAGCATCTGCGGCGCGCTGGACGTGCCGCACGTGGAGGCGCGGCCGGACGCCGACTGGACCGCCCCGGGCCGCAGCATTAACCTGCATCCGGCTCCGGCTGACCTGGCCACTGCGTATGCTGACCTCATCGACTTCCTCACTGGACCCCCGCCTCGCCGTAGTCTATGAAGACAACGCAGGTGGGTGCTGGCGTTTCGGTTCGGTCATGGCCTGTGAGGAGCTCACCGGATGTGAGCTGGCGTCTGTCGGCTGATGCATCGAAAGGAGTACACGACTTGCTTTTGAATGACTGTGTCCGGCTCCGGCAGCTTAGCAAGTTTTGTGGACCATCCCAGTGCCACCAAATGGGCGAGTGGCTTTGCATGCTCTGACTGCGGTGTTTGCTCCTGTGGTTACTGCGGTTAGTTAGAGATTCCTTGTCGAAGCACTCAGTGTGGTATATGTGTATATATATATATATATATATATATATATATATATATATATATGTATATTACACAGGCACATGATATGACAGGATAGGACAGCAGGCGTACAGTACAGTGTGATGTGACCGACAGTCACACCCTGGTCCTCACATGACCGTGTGGTGTGACCAACAGTGGCAGACCCTGGTCCTCACATGACCTTGTGGTGTGACCGACAGTCACACCCTGGTCTCACATGACCGTGTGATGTGACCGACAGTCACACCCTGGTCCTCACATGACCGTGTGGTGTGACCAACAGTGGCAGACCCTGGTCCTCACATGACCTTATGGTGTGACCGACAGTCACACCCTGGTCCTCACATGACCGTGTGATGTGACCGACAGTCACACCCTGGTCCTCACATGACCGTGTGGTGTGACCAACAGTGGCAGACCCTGGTCCTCACATGACTGTGTGGTGTGGCCGACACGTGCAGATCCTGGTACTCACATGACCGTGTGGTGTGACCAACAGTGGCAGACCCTGGTCCTCACATGACCGTGTGATGTGACCGACAGTCACACCCTGGTCCTCACATGACCGTGTGGTGTGACCAACAGTGGCAGACCCTGGTCCCCACGTGACCGTGTGGTGTGGCCGACACGTGCAGATCCTGGTACTCACATGACCTTGTGGTGTGACCGACAGTCACACCCTGGTCCTCACATGACCGTGTGGTGTGACCAACAGTGGCAGACCCTGGTCCTCACATGACCTTGTGGTGTGACCGACAGTCACACCCTGGTCCTCACATGACCGTGTGATGTGACCGACAGTCACACCCTGGTCCTCACATGACCGTGTGGTGTGACCAACAGTGGCAGACCCTGGTCCCCACGTGACCGTGTGGTGTGGCCGACACGTGCAGATCCTGGTACTCACATGACCTTGTGGTGTGACCGACAGTCACACCCTGGTCCCCACGTGACCGTGTGGTGTGGCCGACAGGTCTGGTCCAGCTGCAGGCCCTGGTCGGTACGTCGCCTGGTGTCGACATGGAAGTGTATATTCGCCAGGCGGGACCAGCACACTACCGCGATGTGCTGGCTGACATTAAGAACAAGGAGATCTTCAACCTCATCATCGACACGGAGTCCAGGAGCATGCCGCGGTTTTTACGGGCGGTAGGGGCTAGGGTCAGGGGTTCTGGTGTGCTGTGGAAAGTTGCGAGCCTATGTGGGACGCTTTATGTATTTCACTAGCAGTCGGGTGCACCGACTCTGTGTACTGCGTCATTTATTTCCTTTCCTGCCTGCTCTGAAAAAGACCTCCACAATATTCTGACTGGTTCTGGAGAAAGCTACTCATAATGACATTTTCTTTTTGAACTTTTCAAAATATGCATTTTATGCCAGACGCATAAAACAAATTAGTTAAGTGAAAATTGATGTTTTGCTCAACGCTTACCGCTGTGGCATTAACTCTGCGCGAGGGGTTTGAGCGGTGGGCGGCTGTATGTGATACCATCTGTAACGCAGAGGTGTCTGGAAATGGAATATTTTTTGTTTGGAGAG